ATTACACAACTTGGAAGACTTACATTGCCTGGTGTGAGGTCCAGAAATGGCATCCATGGAAATATTCGATTGGTATAATCTGTTTGTTCAATGAAGTCTGGAAAAGAAATTGGCCGTTGGTACTATTAAAGCCTGGTTTCAATGTTTGCTATTTTTTTTTTTTTTCTCAGAGACCCATTGCATCTCAGTCTCTAGTTCGTACCTTTTTATAATGTGTTTAGCTCCGCCTGGTAGGCTACCTTTACGTCCGTGGAATTTGAACTTGGTCTTTTGGTAAGAGCACACTATCAGGAGTGTGGGGCATCTTGGCCGATCTACCATCAGGCATCAGTTACTCAGATTTGCAAGGTCGCTACATGGGCTTTGGTTCACACATTCACAAGGATCTACCAGGTGGATGTAAGCTGCAGAGGACTCTGTCTTTAGCCACAGCATCTTGCATATGGCTGAGTAGGTTTTGTGTGGGATTGTTGGTGGCTATCATGGTGTCACCCTCCCTTCAAAATTTCTTTATTGCTTTGGGACATCCCACATAGTCATAAATAGTCTGCTCTGTGTCCTGTAATGTACGATAAAGAAAATTGGATTTTTTTATACATACTTGCCTGTAAAATCCATTTCTTGGAGTACATCATGGAACACAGAGGTCCTTCGCCTCTTTCTGGTATTTCATTGCTTGCTACAGAATTGGAGTACTTCCTGTGTAGAAGGGGTTATATAAGGGAGGACTCCTTTCTGATTGGTTGGCCAATGTTTGTTCACCTATAGGTGGCATAAAACCCTCATAGTCATGAATAGCCTGCTCTGTGTTCCGTGATGGCATTTTACAGGTAAGGATGTAGAAAAAAAATCAAATTTGTTTTAAAATAAGTGGGCTCCCAGGAGGTTTATGCCGTGATGTGATAGTATGCACAACAAACTAAATGCAACTCCATCTTTTTTTTTTTTTTTCTTGTACTATTGTTTGTGTGCATGAAATGTTAATTGTGTTATTTACTGAAAATATGCATTTTATGAGCAATTGCGCAAAAATTGTGCAATATGAAAAATTATGTAAATGAACCACACACCCTCCTGCAATTAATTATTCAATATCAATGGCGCCCCCTTGGCCGCTAAGATGACCCTTCCATCCAGGAAGTCCAAAATCAAAAATATATTGAGACTTTGTTGGATGATATTGAACATATTACCATGTAAACTAATGAAATCTTCATGCTTCTTACCGAATTTCAGTATTCTTCAAAGAAAATTCCTCCTTTTCCTCTTTTTTTATCTCAAGGATAAAATATACATAGTGCATTACCATCAACACATAACTAAATGAAATTATAATAGTGAGCTCACATCATAGCATTCAAAACGTGCCCCAAATAACCAAGTGTCCATCCAGTGGCCGTAATTCCCACTCTTACCCTCATTAGATTAATAACTTGCTTTGTACGAGTTCTTGACTAGTGAGATCCTTCCTCAAAAATTCTTCCCAATAAAACCATACCCTCCAAGAGATGTAAGTCAAATATACAGTTGCAAGAAAAAGTATGTGAACCCCTTGGGATTACGTGGAGTTTTGCATGAATTGGGCATAAAATGTGCTCTGAACATCATCTAAGTCACAACAATAGAAGAACACAGTCTGCTGAACATAATACTACACAAACATTAGATGTTGCCATGGTTTAATTGCACATAACATGTAAACATTCACAGTGCAGGGAGGAAAAAGTATGTGAGGCCCTAGCTTAATGACTTCTCCCAGAGCTAATTGGAGCCAGGAGTGAGCCAACCTTGACTCCAATCAGTGTGATGATATTGGATGTGTTGCTGACAGCTGTCCTGCCTTTAAAAAACACACACCTGTTTTGGGTTTACTGGTTTCAAGAAGCACTGTCTGATGTGAACCATGCCTCGCAGAAAAGAGCTCTCAGAAGACCTACGATCAAGAATTGTTGACTTGCATGAAGCTAGAAAGGGTTACAAAAGTATCTCCAAAAGCCTTGATGTTCATGTGTCCACGGTAAGACAGACTGTCTACAAATGGAGAAAGTTTAGAACTGTTGCTACTCTCCCTAGGCGCGGTCGTTCTGTAAAAAAATGACTGCAAGAGCACAGTGCAGAATGCTGCATGAGGTAAAGAAGAATCCCAGAGTGTCAGCTAAAGACCTACAGAAATCTCTGGCACATGCTAACATCTACAATAAGGAAAACATTAAACAAGAATGGAGTACATGGGAGGACACCACGGAGGAAGCCATTGCTGTCCAAAGAATATTGCAGCACGTTTGAAGTTTGCAAAAGAGCACCTGGATGTTCCACAGCACTACTGGCAACATATACTGTGGACAGATGAAACCAAGATTGAGTTGTTTGGGAAGAACACACAACACTGTGTGGAGAAAAAAAGACACAGCACACCAACATCAAAACCTCATCCCCACTGTAAAACATGGCGGAGGGAGCATCATGGTTTGGGGCTGCTTTGCTGCCTCAGGGCCTGGGCGGATTGTTGTCATTGATGGGAAAATTAATTCCAGAGTTTATTAAGACATTTTGCAGGAAAACGTACGACCATCTGTCCGCCAACTAAAGCTCCGCAGAGGATGGGTGATGCAACAGGACAATGACCCAAAGCATACAAGTAATTCAACAAAACAATGGCTGCAACAGCACAGAATACACCTTCTGGAGTGGCCCAGTCAGAGTCCTGACCTCAACCCGATTGAAATTCTGTGGCATGACCTTAAGAGAGCGATTCACACCAGACACCCCAAGAATATTGCTACACTGAAACAGTTTTGTGAAGAGGAGTGGTCCAAAATTACTCCAGATCGTTGTGCAGGTCTGATCTGCAACTACAGGAAACGTTTGGTTGAGGTTATTACTGCCAAAGGAGGGTCAACCAGTTATTAAGTCCAAAGGTTCACATACTTTTTCCTCCCTGCACTGTGAATGTTTACATGTTATTTGCAATTAAACCATGGCAACATCTAATGTTTGTGTAGTATTATGTTCAGCAGACTGTGTTCTATTGTTGTGACTTAGATGACGTTCAGAGCACATTTTATAGCCCAATTCATGCAAAACTCCACGTAATCCCAAGGGGTTCACATACTTTTTCTTGCAACTGTAGTGTAATATTGTCAACACATAATCATCATATCGTGAATCAGTACTCCACACCAGTGATCACAAAACCGTGAAACAGCCGAGTGATCCAAACACTGCAGCTTTTAATGCTCCAACGACAATGATAGTATATGCCCCAAAAAAGAATAGACAATCATTGTCGTTGGAGCATTTAACCACTTCCTGTCCGGACACTTTTACCCCCTTCCTGTCCAGGGCAATTTTCAGCTTTCAGCGCTATCACACTTTGAATGACAATTGCGCGGTCATGCAATACTGTACCCATATGAATTTTTTACCATTTTTTTGAGACAGATAAAGCTTTATTTTGGTGGTATTTATTCACCGCTGGGATTTTTATTTTTTTTACTATGTAAATGAAAAAGTCCAAAAATTTTGAAAAGTGTTTTTTTTAATAAAATTTTGCAAATAAATATTTCATCCTAAATCTTGGCCAAAATTTATTCCGTTATTTTTTTAATAAAAAAAAAAAATCCAAATTAGTTTATAACCAAACATTATAATTTTTAAACATTTTTTTTTTACATTTTTATTTTATTTTTTTTTATATTTTTTATTTTTTATTTTTACATACTGTCACCCTAGCAGTACAGTGTCACCATGGTGACACTGTACTACTTGTGGGGGGTGATGAAGATTTTTTTTTTTTTTTTTTTTTACACTGATTGCTTTTACACCCATATAGGATGTAAAAGCAATCATTTCTCTTTCTCTCTGTCTGCATTCTTGCAGTCATTGAGAAATACTGAGTGAGCTGTGATTGGTCACAGCTTGTCACATGGTACAAGGCTGTTGTGAATAGCCTTGTACCATGTGACCTCTGTGGTCATTCACAGATTTCACACGTAGTAAGCAATGATGTCACAAGTGACATCTTGCTTACTACTTTGCATGTGATCACTGATTCGCCAATCAGTGATCACATGACCGGGACCTCGTACAGAGGTCCCGTCCGACGATCGGTGTTTCACTGTGTCCGGAGGACACAGCGGACACCGGATCGCGGTGGTGCGCGCTCCTAGGGAGCGCGCACAGCTAGAAAAGGCGGGTGCCGTTTAGGAACGGCAACCCGACCTTGGACTGCCACCGCCCTGCCGTTTATAAACAGCAGGCGGACGGCAAGAGGTTAAAGCCACAGAGTTTGGAGCAAGAGTCTATTTGATCAAAGCTTCTGTTTCCTGTCATTCTGGTAAGGTGCATGGATTGACAGGTGTTGGATCACTGGTATGTAGTGTCAAAGCACTGATTCACATGATATGATGATTATGTGTTGACAATATTACATTATATTTGATTTACATCACTTGGATGGGTATGGTTTTATTGGAAAGAATTTTTGAAGGATCTCACTAGTCAAGAATTTGTACAAAGCAAATTCATCTAATGAGGGTAAGAGTGGGAATTAGGGCCACTGGGTGGACACTTGGTTATTTGGGGCACGTTTTGAACACTATAACGTGAGCGCACTATTAAAATTTGATTTAGTTATGTGTTGAGGGTAATGCACTATGTGTATTTTATCTCTTTGAGGTAAAAAAAGGAAAAGGAGGAGTTTTCTTTGAAGAATAGTGAAAAAGTCATTAAGAAGCATGAAGATTTTATTAGTTTACATGGGAATATATTGAATGCTATTGAACATATTTTGGAATACGAAAAATTAGTTACTGCTATTTTATCCTACAAGGCCTCTGCTTTCATAAAATACTGTATATAGTTTAGCTTTTAAATACTTTTCTAAAAATGTTTAAATGTACTTTGCATTTTGTGTTTGTTAATCTGACACATTTTGTCAATTTGTTTTCCCCAAAAAAAGTTAGAATGGCATTCACTAAGACTGATATCTTTTCCTACAGGCCATGATTGTTCTATTCGTTTGTGGAATCTGGACAGCAAGACATGTGTGCAGGAGATTACAGCCCATCGCAAGAAATTGGATGAGTCCATTTACGATGTTGCCTTTCACCCATCCAAAGCATTCATCGCCAGTGCTGGAGCAGATGCTCTGGCCAAGGTCTTTGTTTGACCCCCTTGCCTGCCCTTCTCCTTCACACAATGCCACAAGTGCATTCTTGGACGAAATTTGGACACTTGCGGTATTTTAAACAAATTCTTACATCACTGCCAAGAGGAGTTTGCTTTCGGGCTGACACTACAAGACACAGCTCCCTCTGCAGGACAGGAAGATACTGGTTACAAAGCGGCAGGCACTACCCTCCCTTTCTTCTCATTTATCAGGATTGCTCTGTGCAGGGCTTTAATTACTGTAATTTAATACTTTCTCTTACCACAGTAACCAGTATTCACAGCCCCTGCATAGGGTGTCTGTCCTTTATTATATATAATATAAATATGTTCTTTCTTTCTACAGTCCATAGAGAATAAAACAAACTTTTTAATTTTATTTTAATTATTTTGGCATTGCGCCATTTTAATTCAGGCTCTGGATGCACAATTGTGACTCAGGAGCTCAACTAACATGGGGGATATGGAGCTGCTTATCAACCTTTCAACATACCCCTTTAATTAATTGGTTTGCCTGTTCAGATACAGTTACAATGCAATAGCAATCTCAAGCGGTTTTAATACTTACAATCATATTTTTAATGGAACGCTAAAGGACTTGTGATGAGCCAGTTCCACACGAAGCAAACCCTATGTAAACTACAGAATCTTGTTGGCTTTCTTTCTCATTTGTGTGTAGGTATTTACTCACAGAGCTGGCAATGTAGGACTCTGTGCCTGGCGGCCAATGAAGGGACTTTAATTTTTTGACACTTTTTTAATTTATTATTTCCTGGCAACAGACGCTAGTGTGTAACTATATATTTTTAGCATTAATACAATCTGTACACAAGATCTTTTTTTTAAACTTGTCACATAATTGCAGTGTTTTTATCAGGCTGTTAAGTCTGACAGTGAATGCATTTTGCAGCTTTTTTTTTTTTTTTTTTTATAGTGCTGCCCCGCTACCTGTATAAGGGGATTTATCTTGCAAAGAATTCATCATCTGTTTTACCCTGCATCCCTTTATAAGGCCAGAAGTCAGTGACGCTGCCAGGAAGCCTGGCGTTAGAGAGGATAACATATCTGAGTGACTACAGACTAACAACTAGTTATTTTGGCTTTTTAAATTTTTTTTGTTTTGTTTCTGCAAGAGGGGTTTCATATGCTCTGCCCAATGCACCTCCACCCCTTTTTTAACAATTGCAGCATTCTATCACTGTGTGATATTTTGTATGTTTACTTTATTTACGAGTTAATTTATCCGAATGTTTCCCAGGTAAGTTACAGTGGCTTATTGTTATTTATTTCAGCTTTATATTCTTTTTTTCATGTGACACAGGAATTTTATTATTTTTGAGACAATTTAATGAGGACATCTGAGGGACATAACAATGTTATAAGATAGTATGATTTAAATTGGGGATTTGTTTCAATTTGAAAGACAGCCATGGAATGAGGTTAAATCTCTGCCTGTAAAAGAGGATTGTTTGCAGGCACAAATTTTGCTTCATGACCATTACGGAGCTTATAAGGCTTGCTCCCTTATTCCCCCATATATTTAATGCCCTGGACCTGCCTTCATAGTGGTGTGATTGCAGGGCTCTTTTTGCATTTTTTCATACTTTTTTTGGAGTTCGCTTTTTTTCCCATATTTTTTTTTCAGACATTTAGTTTGTTATTGACGGAAGATTTTACATTGTTTTATGCATGACTGAGATAATTTCACATTTTTTCTAGTCTTCCACAAAGAAAAAAAAAATCTGATCAGTTTGCAAGTTTTGTAAGGTTTTCATTTTACAGACTGCAAATCGGCTAATTTTTAAGATTGTACCACAAAAAATGCAGAAGTACAGTTGTTGAAAAATAATGTATATAAAATGCATATAATAAATATTAAATGGTGTACCTGTATACATTAACTTGCATTGATTGAAACGTCCAACTAACATCATAACAGGTATCAAGATATTTTTGTAAATAATTTCTATATTTGTTTAATATGAATAGTCTCTTTAGGGAGACGATTAAAATTGTGTATTTATGGTAACACAACTTTAAGTAGCCTAGCGTAGTTTTCTGTTTTATATAGATGAAATTATACATAAATTCTATATTTTTATTTTATTCTTGAAATAAATTCCTGCATGTAATGACAGTCCTCAATCCTTTTTCCTTAAGAGTTACTAATACCTTTCCCATTTTTAATGGATCGAAGAAGGAATAAAATGTTTTAATGTGCATTCTCACTTATCTGCTCTAATTCTCTGGTCTAACGTTTAGGCAGTAAATTGTTCCTCTCCATTGTATTACTAATCCTTTGTGTCATTTTTTTCCTCCTTACAAAATCATCTGAATTTCACATCTATAAAGAGCTGCAATTCTAGAATGCAAGTTCTTTTCACAGATAAAGAAATGTTCATAGTTATATCATTAATCTTCTAGCAAGACAAAACTTTGATTCAGTTTATGTGTATCCAGAAAAAAACAAAAACTAAATTATCAGGCATTGGGGCTTGGGAAGAGGATGACTGCTCGACCTCTCAGTGGTATGGTTTGACCAGATGACTTTCCTAGACAAAGGATTTCCAGAGCAATGTAGCTTAGATGAAAAGAAGGCACAACAGTTTCCTTTTGATTGCCAAAAAAGCTCGCCAAAAAGGCCAGGCCACTCCTTACTAAATTACTTGGCTGTGTAAAACTTTTACTGAACCCTGAATGGGCTTTTTGCATCACAGGGTAGATGGCAAAGAAGAAAAACTTCAAAATGAGCTTAAAGTTCCATCTAATGGAAACAGACATACTATTCATATCCACTATTTTATATTTACATAGTTAGAAAGTGTTCAGGGTTAGTCTTGACTGTAATATGAAATATATATACATAGAGAGATAGATGGATAGATATATCTATATCTCTCAAAACGTCCCATCCGACTATTGGCGTTATGTGGCCCATACATAAGAAATTCTGACTAGGGCAGGCCATACAAGATGCGTTTTTTCTTTTCTTGCAACCATGGGTTATAGAAAAGAATGCTCGATTCTAGCATAAAGTCAGTGTTTGATGGTGGGAATTCCTCCCGAGCTATTGTGTTCTCCCACAGGGTGGAGGGAGCCATCCCGGCTGGGAGAACAAGGTGATTATTGCTAGGTGCTATAAATGCCACTAGCTGTAATTGCATGTAAAATCCAACAGGTTAGTTGTATCTAGTTGTACAGCAATCAAATTGGGTATAATCAGTCTACCCATAGATGATTTTAATCTCAGCTGGTCCTTGCTGAACTGGCTGAGATTCGAACCACTCATGGCCAGCTTAAGGGAGGACATCTCCCCAATACCATTTCCCACTTGTCCTGATTATTTGAAACCCTTATTTCCCTTAGTTCGGGGTTTAGAAGGCTAGTACAAGAGAAGTTCCACAGGGCCTAGATTTTCTTGCCTTCAGACAGTGGCCTACTCTTTAAGAAACCCTCGATTCATCTAGGTCTTTGGAGAATGGTTATCACACTGTATTAAGACCCTACCACCTGCAGGTAAATGTACTCTCCCCTTACCTGATTTGAAAAGAAATATGAGCAAGACACACTCTCTGGTGTACAATTTACCGACCTCACAAGCTGTGCATAGCAAAATGGGAGAGAGACCTGCTTTTACAACTGACACCGGAGGAGAGAGAGAATCAATTTCTTTACATACAAAACCTCAATCAACACAAAATTCCAAGAATTTGTTTTTAAACTCCTAACATACTGGTATAGGACTTCACAGGCCGTGCAATAGTTGTTCCAGTCTACTGCAGACAAATACTAGAGATGTGGAGTTTCTCTGAGGGATATATTTCTTTAAAACCAGGGTATCTTCATCTACATTACAACAGGTTTATACTGTCATCTTCAGGTGATTAGGCACTGGCAAAAATAGTGCCCTCCCAGAGATAACCCCTCACCATTAGGCAAGTCTTCAGTTTTTTTTTTTTGCTAGTGTCTTGGGTGATGGTCAGATCTGTGCAGTGTCTACACTAAAATGTAGCCATTTTCTCAACGGTTCCATCTAATAATAAGAGACTAGCTCTTTTCAGATTCATTTTCCTAATGCTTTTCTATTGAAATGGTACTCGAACCCTGCTCTGGACATTTAGGGGACAGCTCTTGGCCATGCCGCCATTGGTGGCCTCACCTATCGATCACTGGGTCCCGGCCGGTGATTCCCCGCCGGCATCCCCGATGGGTGAGAGACCTGTATGTAAACAATACAGATCTCTCCCCTGTCAGCTCCTGCACATTGCTTTGTATTGCTCTGCATAGCAGAGCAATACAAAGCAATGTGCTTACACAGTAAAGCACAGCACACAGTTAACCCTTTGATAGCCCCAGATGTTAATTCTTGCTAAGTGTCATTATTACAGTGTCAGTGCTTTTTATTAGCACTGATCACTGTATTGGTGTCTGTGTCAGAATGTCCGCCGCAGTCTGAGTCGCTGATCGCCGCCATTACTAGTATTAAAAAAAAAAAAAAAATTACAGTATCTATACTATTTGTAGATGCAACAACTTTCACATAAACCAATTAATTTACATGTATTGGGTTTTTTTTTTTTTTTTTTTTAAGCAAAGACGTAGCAGAATACATTTTTGCCTAAACTTGACAATTTGATTTGTTAAAAAAAAAAATTTTTACTGGACATGTTTAATAGCAAAAAGTCAAATATTATTTTTTTCTCAAAATTGTCGGGTTTTTTTTTTTTCTTTACAGTGCAAAAAAAAAAACTCAGAGGTGAAGGAATACCACCGAAAGAAAGCTCTATTTGTGGGGGGAAAAAAGGACATACATTTCATTTGGGTGCAGTGTTGCATGACCATGCAATTGTCAGTTAAAGTAACGCAGCGCTGTATTGCAAACTGCCTGGTCGGGGGGGGGTTGGGGTAAATCTTCTGAAGGGCAAGTAGTTAAAATTAGATTGAGTTACCTGTAAAATCCTTCATAGATAGATAGATGGATATCTATCTATCATAGGACAC